CCAAGCCTCACCGACCCCCCCCCCCCCCCGAATAAAGAAATGGTTATGCTACAGTAGTTTTGTTTTAAGTAAGTATTTGTGATATCATGATAAACTTAATGACATGAGGTGGACATGAGAAGAAAGATTAGGTTAAAACAATTCTAGCAAGAAACGAAAACTAACCACCAATAATATCGAGAACATCAAACGAAATTTTCATTTAAATAAAAGATAGAAACGTTTGATACCGTCACTTATATTACTTCATCATTTCTTAATCAGCTATAAATCAATTTAAACTATAGGTTGTCTTCTACCAGTGTTCCAATGACGAGGTCAATGACAAAGACGATGATATTGACAATGTCAATCACCATGGTACATTGTCATCACCAACTACACCCACCGGGGGTTTATGCGTAGTAAGTATCGCTGACAACGTTTAGAAGGCGGTTAAAGGAGGGTAAAACCGCGGCGTTGCTAGCTGGAAGACTCGTCAGCTTGTCCTTGGCACTTGTCGCAATAAGGATGTCCAGGACGAGATCGGTCATTGTCTCACTCCCAGTAGGTGTCAAGCTAGTGGTGGACAGAATCATGGCGGCAGCACCTAGGTACACCAACCGTAAAGATATGATAATAATAATAATAATAATAATAATAATATTAATATATAATACTAGTTTAAATTGGAGGCCTAGTATATATTTCATAGCGCACATGTTAACCACGCATCAACATTAGTTACATTCTGCGACAAAAATCATTTTGTTGCTGTACTAATCCGAGGACATTCCCTTACCTTTACCATACTAACCGAATTCATAACTTCAACCCTGGACCAAACATTTGAAGGTTTTTAGGATTAGGTTTAATCATACCTCTTACCTAAAATACGACTGCAACCTTCCCCTCATTATTGTTATTATTAATTATTATTATTACTAGTAATATGAATATTATGATTATAATTATGATTGTCTTAATTATTATTATTGTTTTTCCTACCTGCCACTGCAGGGGTTGCAAAGGAGGTGCCGGATGATCTTAGGTAGTTGGAATTACTGCTTCCGGAAGGGGCAGCGAGGTCGATATTTCTTGCTGGGGCGTAGATGTCGACACAAGGACCGTAATTGGAGATTCCGATACGATCATCGCTCGCGCCATTCATACGGTTTCTCGACCCTCCGACCGTGATAACCTAAGAGCAAGAAGCAATGTACAAAATATAAATAGTGCACAGGGGTGACGAGACGTCTTTCAAAGGGAAGGGGGGGGTAGTAGAAAGTCTTCAGGGAAGATGGGGTACCTACAAAGTGTAACCGCTATGCGGAAAATATAATTGCGTAAACATGTGTATCCCTAAATTTAGTTAATAGTTCCAAGGATCGTCAATATTGTATTGCTTTTCTCCTTTCGCCGTTTTCCTTTTATAGATAGCGGCGTTCGCCTCATCAGTTGCCGTTGTTTGCAATGAACTTAATAATTATTTTGCGAGCGAGCGAATCAAAACAATGAACTGGAAATTCAAGATTAATTCCATAATTGCATGGAATAAATAAATGCGGGCGAGTGTAGCAAAACAGCTTTGAGGTAATTTCGCAAAATAGTGCTCTCACTTGGTTAAATTAGGAAGGAAATTTCTTGTCATAGCCCCTGTTGTAATAATGCCTCTTTGCAATATGATTGATTTGTTGTGAATTTTTCTTAACGTTTATCAGATTTGTCAAAAGGATCTTATCACATGTGAAAAGGGACACTAAGCCCAATTCAATTGATTTAAAGGAGAAACACTCATTATAAAGGAAAAGGGGAACTTAACAGTAGTAAAAGAGTGCACTTCTCAGAGCCGGAAAGGGGCACTCATTAGAAAGGAAAACTGCAGAGGGACTCATCAGTAGTAAAAGGGGCACTTCTCATTTTTGAATAGCTACTTATGAGAGACGAAGTGGGGGCACTTTTCTGCAGGGGAAGGGCACTGATTTTTAAAGAAAAATAGCATCCTAAATGTAAAATGAAAAAAACGAAAAACATCGATAGACTACACGACTTGTATGGACCGATTCTCTTTCCATGGTATTGGGGAGCATTGTAATTATTTGCCACCAGAGCTAGATGGTAGCCATCCAAGAGCATAACAACAGATTATTCATTTAGTCCGGGAACTAAAACAGGAATATGTTTTTATCATAATAGGTCAAACTTTTATTGAGCGAACTCGATGCACTCCCCCCCCCCCTTCCGCCCCTCCCCCTCCCACCCCTCTCCCCCTCCCCCTCCCCCCCTCCCCCTCCCCCTCCCGCCCCCTCCCCCGAGAGAGCGACTTGTCAAAACTTGGCCGGGGCCTTGTTTCAGTCGAGATCGAAGGAGAGAAGATAACTGAACTCGGCAGGGCGCCTTGTTTAAGTCAAGAAGGCGAGAAGGTGACTTGTTAATACTCGCCAAGACGTCTTGTTAATAAAGAGAAGGTGAGAAGATGACATATTAAACCACTTTATCGTCTTCTCACTTTAAATAAGGCGCTTTTTTTTTCTTTCTTCAATTCAAGCAAGTCGCCTTCTCGCTGCACGATTAACCGCTCGTGCGCCCTTCCATGTTGAGCTCTCCGAATCGGTGAATTGGGACTTTTAGATTTGCACGTCGACATAGTGGACTGCTACGTGTGACGTCCTTTTCAGCCACTGTGACGTCCTTTTAAAGCACTGCCACGTCCTTTTAAAGCACTGCCACTGCCTTAAAAGGACGTCACACGTAGCAGCCCACTATTTCAACGTGCAAAACTAAAAGTCCCTAATATTTACATCAGGTGATCCAGACGGAGAGTAGTTACAGGCATTAGCCATGCTGACGTCCGCACCTTGGTTTCCAGCTGCCACGACGACCACGCAATCAGTGTTCGCGCTGAGGTTCCCGAAAGCATAGTTGAGTGTCGTACTAAAGGACGTGGAAATCAGTGAGTAGGAGACGACACACTTAGAGCCCGGGTTGTTGTTCCACCAACGTTGAATGTCGTCAAGCCCTGTATTAATGGGACGTGAGAAACAAAAATGTGGGTGACATTACAAGTGGTCCTGCCATATTATTGCTGCTTGATTTATTTCGTGATTGGTTAGAGTAGTGGAAAGGTTGCGTTCAGTGGATTGTAGGCTAGGTTTGGGGTTATGGCTAGGGATAGGTGTTAGGGTAAGGTAGGCCTATAATAATTCAAATATTATTGTTATTTAAAAAGAAACTCGATTTTTGTTTTTGTCCAAAGTGCTGAAAACACCTTGGACCGTGCTTGTGGCATGATAATTTGGTCCAAATAACATTCAGCGAGTATTTGTCATATTATGAATATGAGGGCATCTGAAGAACTATCCTTCTACTGTTCTACACTAACATAAACAGAATGAAAAAGCTCACAATTTCAAAATTACAAAGTACATACCTGCGAGGACGTCATCAGCGGCGGCTAAGCCATCGGATCCAGCTACCCGAATGCTCTCTACGGTCGCGCCTTGAGCGACTCCTATGTTGGCTCCGGCGGCTACGCTCGCACAGCGGGTCCCATGTCCATTGACGTCCACCATAATGGGCGACTACAAAACAAGAATAAACAAGACTGTTTTTATTTGATTTATTACAAATATATTCGGGGGGGGGGTGATTCACCGCGTCATATCTGGACCAGCCTTTAGGCATCCGCAATGGACTGTCTACCCCCCCCCTCCCATACGCCATATTTTCCAGGTTTTTGACAAACACGACTTTTTGCATGGTTAGTAATTAGATTTTGTTTTAAGGGAGGGGGGATAACTTTGTTAGGTCTATATTCCAAGGATAACATTCCTTAACCCCCTTGTTTTAACGTTTAGGCCTAGAGTACTGATATTTCCTTCGCATTACGCATGATATGCATAGCTAGAGGGCGGCTTAATTTGATTCACGTAAAATGCTAAAGAGTCGTGAAGTAAGAATGATACTCACGTTAGGTGTAACGGTATCGTTATAAAAGCTGACGCGGCCGTTGGTAAACTCATCATGAGTAAACAGAACTCCAGTATCAAGAATGAAGATAGTCACGTCTGTCGCATCATCTGAGGAAGAAAATAAAAACATGGACGTTACAAAGCTTGTAGTCGGGTAAAGCCGAACCCTATATTTAAAGGGCTACGTAAGCCCAGTGAAACAATACTTCGTCGGCGGTTTTATGAACCGACGAAACCGTCATAGATAATGTTTCACTAGCCTCCTGAAATAATATATGGCGCCATAAAGACCTACCTGTAGTAGAGTGAAATAATAAATAAAAATGTGGTCTTTTATCAGTGTTAGTACGACTCTTCCTGCGGGCCTTGCAGCCTTTAGGCCAAATATAAAAAAAAACATGTTTAGCGTCCTGTTTTTTCGAAAAATAGGAAGGAGGAGGCCCCCCTTTTTTTCCTTTCAAAACGGCCTCTCAAAATGGCAGCTCGGTACATTTTCCCTGACAGTCGGGCTATTTTTCAAGATGGCCGCTGACTTTTTTTCCCCTTTTTTTTAAAATCAGAAATAGATCCATTTTAGCAGTGTTTTTCATGTTCTTTTTCTTTACAAAATTTCAACAAAAAAAACAAAAAAAAATAGCAGGCGGCCCCCCAAAAAGGAAGCGAGCGGCGACGCTAAACATTTATATTTTTTTGAATGGCCTTATAACCCCAACAGTTTCTAGGGAAATTGTGATTGAATTAGCAAACAATAAATCGTTTTCTTACATGTTGATATGTTCTATCCTTCTGTTGTCCATTGTGTACAATGCAAGCACTTTCATGGGATTTCATCACATGCACCTATGCGCTTTGAGAGTTTGATTCGATGTGATTAGGATTCGGTGCCTTAAAAGTCTCTCATAATATTTCTTTATATCATTGTTGTTATTATTATTATAATTATTATTAACATTATGATAATAATTGATATTAATATCATTATTATTTTCATTATAATAACTATTGTTATTGACTCACTTCTGTCGTAAGAAGCTCCATCACGGGGAAGATCTACCTGATCGATTCGGTCCAGTAGCTTGACGGGCAGGGTGGGCAGAGCAGCACCGACTTCTTGTACCGAGTTCTCTTCCACGAGGTAACCTTTCTTAGCTAACTGTGGGAGAAAACAGATCAGGAACGGTCGGTTCAATGCAAAAAAAGGCTCTAACGTTATAATACTGTCGATGTCTCTCGTGTCTTTCATCGACGAGGTGACGATTAACGGCTAAAGGGTGCGGGGATATGACATCCCCGTCCCTTAACAATTCTGTAGGCATATCCAGAGCTGCGGCATATGGGGAAACTTATGACTTTTTTGCTCGTCTGTAGATGAGTTTGTAAATTGACGACCACTCATTGCCATCAGCGAGAAATAAGAAAGTATGATGAACATTTTTGTTAAAGGGATCCGATAACTTTGTCTCAGATTCTAGAAAAAAATCCTGGATTTAGCTCATGCTGCAATGATAAATATAAACCTTTAGGTCAGTCAGGAACCCCATGAATTTTACAAGCTGATCGTCTTGTCTGATGATCAAGAAATTTATGATTGGAAATCGAAACCAAATTTTGCGTTAGCCGAACGGTTTTCATAACACTACAGTATATTGCGGAAAACGAGTACGGTAAAAACCGGTCACTCAAAGATTTTTACTTTTTTGAGGCATTTCTTGATCATTTTGAAGCGCGATTTTTAGGGCTTTAATATTACACCATATCACAGACACTGGTAACACGTAGGGCCATGCATCTCAGATTTAACATTGTTAAACGATGCCTTTAAGGTTTTACACGTTATAATTTGTTACAAATATCTTCCCCCCCCCCCCCCTTCCCTCCCTCCATCCCACTTTATAAAAGGTTTATTAAAATCATTGACAAGGCTAGAAAGAGAAAGCGATGTTTGTTAACTGAATGAATCTCTGCGAACTGTTAAAGTAGATATTCATTGATTTTAAAAACTAACTTTATGTTCATTATTGCAAAGTTTAAACTTTGATTCGACAAGGTTATCAAAATTTAATGCTTGGAAACATTCGAAGTAATGATTATTATAAATTACAAAACGCTTAAATACAGCCCGGGCATAGCACCTGAAGAGCTCTCCGAACGCTGCTGAGATGTGTGAGATCATAGTATGGACATGACTTGCACAAGCAGACGATGCCCCATGACATCTCACACATTTTCAGTGCCTGTGTTTTCATCTTTTCTTGAGTTCTTTCTCTTACTTCACTACCGTCAGGCTAAATGTAGAATCTATTGCCTCACTCTAAACCCCGCGCATGGTTTTATTTTGATGACAAATGCAGCGATACAAAAATAAAGGAATTTGTCGCTTGTAAACAAAATAAGACGCCATTGTATATTCAGCTGCACACACCGGGGTATGTTCGGCGTTTCAAGAGGGAACAAATGCCGTCCTTGATATGATTCCGGGGTTTTTCAATTTGAAAGTCTGGTTTCTTTGATTGTTAATTAACCCCTATCCTGTGTATTTACAAGCAAAAGATGTTAGTTATCAGAATCGGGTCATATCCCGTTTTAAATGGTTTGACATGCCATTACATTTATATAAACTAAACTCATTACAATTTGACAAATAATAGCTTTGCAATTACGTTCATTCTCTATGAGATGTCGTCTGCTTGGGCAGTGTTGGTCCATATAGTGACGTCATTAAAACATCGTTATTTTCCCGGCGAATCTCTCGTATATCCCAGCTGCTATGGAGGTGGTTGTATTCTTATTTTTTATTAATCACCCGATATGTAGTTGACCTATAACTTGTACGATGGCCATCTGTTAGCTTACCAGTTTCTAGTGATACATTAGTTGACAAATTTGTGATTTTCTTTGAATTTCACCTTTAAAAAGGAGGATTCTTTAAAACAGAAAAAGATGGTTAAAGAGAGCCACAGTGAGTACATGTTTGAAAAATGTAATGACATTTTGGACTGTATGTGAGTTCTACACAGGGGTACAGAGTTATTCTTGTTCATTTTTACACCAACTTTAATTCTGTCAGATTTATTCCAAAATCATTTTTAACGAATGCATGTATTGAGTATCAAGATAACATTTGGCTGTTACCTTTATAGCACACTTTTCTGTGGTTTCAATGGAGACAATGAGTAGAACATCGGTGAATGCTCGTTTTATTGTGGAGCAGTCTCGGCATGCTTTCAATTTGTCGATCTTTTTGAACAGCCTGTTATAACTGTGCTGGTCCTGCGGAAAGGGAAAAAAGGAGAAGAACAAATAATAAAAAAACGAGGCGCCATGTCAAAGGACAGTATATATATATATATATATATATCTATAAGCTGAATATCATCATTATTATTTGTGGATGTTCAAGGCCTGGAAACAGCCTTTCGACAAGTGCTCTGACAACTGCAATATTCCGCTTACATTTACATGATAAAAATCATCAATAATTATGTCGACCAAATTTCAAAATGATGAGAGTGAGAAAAGCAATTGACGTTTGATTTCACATCAGATCTCACATAGGCCCATTCTGCATCGTAATATGACAAAAGAATCATGTAACTAAATTGTTTTGTGAGTAGAACATGTGCTTTTCAGCGAGATAATTTCTATTTCTAATCATTTTGATGATTCTAAGCTCCGACATATTCGAAAATTGTAAGTACTACATCATCAAATTCTCTCATTCAGTGGCTTCGAGACTGTCTCTGTCACAACGCAATTGAATAACCAGAACTCAACATCAGTCCTGTCCCTAACTCTGTATATGCCATACAAATACATGATTGTAATCTCGCTTTGCCACATTGTATTGATCATGGGATTGATGTACCACGGCTTCAAGGTCATCGAACTGCTTCCGGTGCAAGATTTATAGATTATGTACCGGTATTAAATAGGGTTGTCAGAATGGACTGGAAAATGGTAATTTTACCAAACAAGTGGGTTGCACACATCAACCCTCTCCGTCAATCGGTGCCAATTGTTTTGTGCAAAATTACAGGTATGGCAAACGGGCGACCGTGCACAGAGACGAAGAGAGCAATCGAACTGCTACACTGTAATTTACCCGTTAAAACTCTAAATAATCTGATTATATTAATATTTTATGAACTTACTGGGGAAGTGACTATATAGCTGGTTGTGCATGAACATTTCAGGCTATTGTGCGTTTCGACGTCCATGGGCGGTCCCTCGTCGCACAGGTCTTCATCGGTGAGTTCGTTGTCATCATCATCGGACTCCGAAGAGTAGCTTGCTATCACGTTAGCCCTGGCAAGGTATTCGAAAACAAATAATAGTACTAGTCATCGTAATAGTAATAGTTATACCAATAATAACACTAATAGTAATAATAACTAATAATAGTAATGATAAATAACAATAATAATTATGATGAGGATAATAATAATATCAATACACAGTACACACTGTTTCCCAACAGATTTATCAAGAACATTCTGAGAGGGTATAACCTTTGGTTATAGATCAAGAATACAATAATATTGTCACAATCATTTCATGAAAAGAGGTTAAGAAAAATGTATTCCAACTTTATGGGCAGCAGTGTTATAATAATGACAAGTTCCCGGTCTCATACAGAGCATTCCACATAATATCGCGTCTCCATGCTCTTCTTAAGGATACCGGCTTTAGACCCGGCAACTGTGAGTAGCGCTCAGTGCATTCAAGGAATGAATCCTACAAGGAATGAATCCTACAAGGAACCCACCTACTACACCTACGACGAATGTGGTAAAGATGTACGTCTTGCCCAAAGGACGTTATTGCTGCGCAGGGATTCAACAGCCATACCGTTTGATTCACAGCCTGCAGACTTATCCACTGGACCACAACACCTCTGTATATTAGTACTAGCTTTGCCATTGTACGTCTTTTCTTTTCCTTTTCTCTCTTTCTGGGAGAAGGCTTTATTATGAACGTTCAATGCTATCATTTTTTTTTTGCCGATTCTATTTTCTGTTTCCTGATGAGATTGAGAAATATCTATACATAAATGCAAATCATGAATGGGACCTATATGTATAGGAATGATAAGAGTAGGGCCTATGATTATATTCGTTACAACTAAAACATAGACTGTACTCATGACAATAAAATAAATATTCTCCTAGTTTTAAGTCACTTTACGATGGTATAGGCCAATAGATATCTATAGCACTGTGTGCAGATTGCATAGAGCTCTGTATAGCAACTGAATAAAGAATGGAATTAAGAGTATACAATACCAGGCGAGGGCCAAAACGGCAATCAGGATCCAAACGTTGGTCTTCATGGTTGAGGTTTGTGGATCTTCTGTGTTCTCAGAGTGGTTTCCTCAGCAGGATGAGTTCTGTCTAAAACCCATCTCAATTTATAGGCATTTTTCGGTGCCGTGACAGAATATCGGTTACATCTCGAAATATGGAATAGAAATCTGTTTTTTGTTTGATGTTGTTGTTTAACATATTTATTATTTTGACGTTATTTGTAGTCTACTGTTCCTTTTGAATCAATAAATATAATGTAAACAGCTTCGTGTATTAGAAACGTCGTTTCCGTGTGACCCAGTATCAATTACCTGAAGAATATATGGAAGAGATATCTACATCTTGTTTTAAATCTTTATCATTTTTACTATATTGACGTTATTTATTTGGTCCACTTTTCCTTAAAACGAATAAATATCTGTACACAGCTTCATGCAAATAATATACTGTAATAAATGATGTAATGAAATAGTTGAAAACGTGCGAAGAACAAAAAGATGCTTTCTCTTCTCTTCACTTATAAAAGAAAAAAGAATAGGTAAAATAGACCACGCATAATTTGATACGTCGGTTTTGTTTATTGACGATGAAGATCCAGCTCACGTTGTCTTATGAAAGGAGGGGCTAGGAATACACATGACAGCAGATATGCTTCCGTTTGTTCACGATCTAGGACGCTTTTTGATCTCATGTTAATTAAGGCGATGCCAATTTCGTTTGTTTCTGGTAGATGTGTTTTCTGTTTTCTGTATGTCTTCAATTTTACGACTAAAAGTACAATTGATGTATGTTGTTTTTATTGTAAGTTCACTTTCATTTAATTTTTTGGACCCCAAGGAAGAGAAAGGAAGTCGTGTCATATCAACAAAGCTGAGATGGCCATCGAGCCATTAACTATATTCTGTTGTTGTTTTGATTTGTATTGTCATTAGTTAAATAAATACATTATCATTATCTCTCTCTCTCTCTCTCTTTCTCTCTTTCTCTCTTCTTACAACCATATCCGTTTGTCTGTCTGTCTTTTTTTCTCACTCCTCTTTCTCTCCTTACTCTCTCTATCTCCTCTTATACCCGCATTCGTCTGTCTCTCTGTCTCTCTCTCTCTTTCTCTCTCTCTTTCTCTCTCTCTCTCTCTCTCTCCTATCGCCTCCTTCATATTTTGTCCCCCTCTCTCTCTCTCTCTCTTATCGCCTCCTCCATATTTTCTCCCCTCTTTTTCTCTATCTTCTCCTAGACCCCTATATTTCTTTATTTCGTTCTTTCCTTCTCTCCCATCCACTCTTACAGCCCCCGGTGCCTTCTTCCTTTTTCCAGGCGTATCAATTTAACAATTAATTAAACGTTTCTATTAAACAAATCATCTTTAAAAAAATAAAAATGAAAATAGATCGGACACGGTTTCTGGTTCTCGTGTGTCAGTGTACAGGCAGAAGCGATGCGGAAAAGACTATCGCGTATAAATGCCTTTAGAGAAAGTTGCGATAAGACCGTCAGCGCACTTTTTTTTTCTTGAAATAAAATGAAATCAGAATTATATCTGCTTGGAACATTCAGGGGCTCATCACCCTTGCAGAGAAATCGTTAAAGCAATATTCATGGCGTTAAAATTATCGCGTTTTGTCATTTAAATAAACAAAGAATTGAACTCTGGATATGAACTTTGGATATGAACTCATGATGCAGACACTTACGTGAGGGGTGAGCTACAGGGACATACTAATGGGGAATCACCTCTTGTTTTCGGTTGTAGGTCTATATTATGATTACATAGATAAGATACTTGTGAATATTCATGTTATTGATAACACTGCTACAGACCTGTTAAAGAACAAAAAGATCGAATATTTGTCTACGAGGCTGGGCTTTCAGCAACCACACCATTATAAAACTATCTTTAATAAAGTATAAGAGTTGATTTAATTCAGAAGTAAAAGTTGAATGTATATAGACACTCGTAAAGTGGATTATTCTTCTTTGAAATATCAAAAACAACTAACCATACTTTTTAAAGCTTATATTTGCTATGGTATATATATAAGAGAAGTATTAGGACTGTTCGGCGGTTGATGAATTTGCTCGTACAGCTGAAACATTAATGTCCATGCATTAGAGTGCATGCAATGAGCATGCATGCATTGCATGCACAAAATATTCATGGCCATTGTGTTACAGCTGTTAGTCTCTGTAAATTTAGTCGCCTGCTTTTCCATCTTTTGTTTAGCCGTTGAAAATATTATAATCTTCTTCATATTTTCGATTTTAAGTATCTTTATATCACAATTTATATTTTTCATTTTTATGTATTTCATAAGATTGTATATTCCTCGGGACATTGGGCCCTTTAATTAAGCCAATTAAAAACACATGCTTATTATTAATATTCTTGACTTACTTGACTAAAGTGCACATGACGGAGTGTCCCCTTGCGCTCAAATATCGTTCAAAAATACAATACATGTATAACTGTTATAAATAAATAGTCAAATGTATAACTGTTATACTGTTATTACTGTCACGTCTCTATCAAAATCAAATTGCATACAATTATTTTGGAGTATACTGTTTTCGTGTATGGTATTTTTGAAAACTCTGAATTCTCGGTTTTCAAAATGATGTGTGTTTATATTTTATAATAACTTTGTATGTGTAAACAATATTATGTGATCCATAACATTTCGTTTGACTGCTCTGTCAAATGGTTTTATATCAAGTCAAATTACTCGTGTTATAAAGATATAGATCAGAGGAACCCTTGTCATTGGAATACTGTTTTAGGTTCTCATTCTTCCTTGTGTAGGTCCTTTGTAGTGATGTGGTTTGATTCATTTTCTGGATATATGAAATATCTCTTAAAATTGAGTTGAATTTAAAAGAGCATTAGCAGTAACTATGTAAAGGCGCAATCATGACACTGCTAAGTGACATGTGATTTACATTTATGATTGTTACACGATGCCTATATTGTGTTTTTCAAATTGACGTACGATTATCGTGCTTAAAGACAAAAAAATATATATATCAAAATAAAGGATTTATGATTTAAACTCACATTTATAGACTCACGATTTGTCTTATGATTCTGTCCTGAATTAAATTGTATGCACCAGATGTTGTCGAAATAAGTTTCACTGTGTATTACAAACACAAAAATTGTTACGGTGGTACAATCACTAAACGATTTTCAGTTTTTTTTTTAATAGATCTGAGTAAAGGAAAATATCAAAGTTCCCCTTACCAAAACGTTCCACTTAGCTGTTATTGAATGCTTTCCAGCCTCGATAAATCAAAAGTGCTTTATTTATTTTATTACTCAAATTCGCGTAGTGTAATTATTGAGTGCTGTTTTTAATTTCTCGAGGTGTCACATAATCATTTCTTTCATACAATGTAACAAAAAGTTTGAACATCTTTACCTATTAAAGAACCAAATAGAGGGGCTGACTTGGTTTCTGACACTCTCTCAATAACCGTGGGAACTCTTTGTTAGCTTTTTTAATATATCATAGACATACTTCTTTCTTCGGACATAGTTGGTCTATGCTCTATCAATGCAAAAAAATATAAACCCAATGTTAGGGGCGTCTGACCGTTAATTGTGTACAGTGATAGTGCTTTCTTTTGACAAAGTTTGTTGCATGGGCTAAACTTAGGGTGAAATCCGAATCTGGGTCTGTTCGGGGGGGGGGGGCTCTGTGGGCCGACAACCATTTTCTCCCACTAACCATATAAGCGGGGGACTTGTCGTCCATGACCTAAGTAATGGGTCAAAAGGGGTAAGGTAGGCTCTTGACGCGTGTGAGGGGGAGAGAGGATGGAAGAGATTGGAGAAAATTATAGAGTTAAAAAGAGAATGGAGAGAGGTGAGGAAAAGAGAAAGAACAAGAGAGAGAGAGAAAGAGAGAGCGCGTGTGTGTGTGTGTGTGTGTGGGAGAGAGAGAGACAAAAAGACAAACAAATACAATGTGTGTGTATGTGTGTGTGTGAGAGAGAGAGGGTAGGAGTGCGAGAATAGACAATGCAATGTTTCTCCCTTCATTATGTCTCTCCCTTCCCCATGTCTCTCCCCACCCCTCTCTCTCTCTCTCTCTTCTTTTGTCTCCTCTCCCCCTCTCTCTAGCTCTCTCTCTCTCTCTCTCTATCTCTATCTCTCTATCTCTCTCTCTATCTCTCTCTCTCTCTATCTATCTCTTTCTCTTTCTCCTCTCTCCCTTTCCTTAGATTTTGTTTCAAGTAAGTATTTGTGATATCATGATAAACTTAATGACATGAGGTGGACATGAGAAGAAAGATTAGGTTAAAACAGTTCTAGCAAGAAACGAAAACTAACCACCAATAATATCGAGAACATCAAACGAAATTTTCATTAAAATAAAAGATAGAAACGTTTGATACCGTCACTTATATTACTTCATCATTTTTTAATCATCTATAAATCAATTTAAACTATAGGTTGTCTTCTACCAGGGTTCCAATGACGAGGTCAATGACAAAGACGATGATATTGACAATGTCAATCACCATGGTACATTGTCATCACCAACTACACCCACAGGGGGTTTATGCGTAGTAAGTATTGCTGACAACGTTTAGAAGGCGGTTAAAGGAGGGTAAAACCGCGGCGTTGCTAGCAGGAAGACTCGTCAGCTTGTCCTTGGCACTTGTCGCAATAAGGATGTCCAGGACGAGATCAGTCATTGTCTCACTCCCAGTAGGTGTCAGGCTAGTGGTGGACAGAATCATGGCGGCAGCACCTAGGTACACCAACCGTTAAAGATAGGATAATAATAGGAGTAACAATAACGATAATAATAATAATAATAATAATAATAATAATAATATTATACTAGTTTAAATTGGGTTAAAGATAGGATAATAATAGGAGTAACAATAACGATAATAATAATAATAATAATAATAATAATAATGATAATAATAATAATAATAATAATAATATATATATATATATATATATATATATATATATATATATATTTCATAGCGCACATGTTAACCACGCATCAACATTAGTTTCATTCTGCGACAAAAATCATTTTGTTGCTGTACTAATCCGAGGACATTCCTTTACCTTTACCATACTAACCGAATTCATAACTTCAACCCTGGACCAAACATTTGAAGGTTTTTAGGGTTAGGTTCAATCATACTTCTTACCTAAAACCCGACTGCAACATTCCCCTCATTATTATCATTAATTATTACTATTAATATGATTATTATGATCATAATTATGATTATAACTATGATTGTCTTAATTATTATTATTGATTTTCCTACCTGCCACCGCAGGGGTTGCAAAGGAGGTGCCGGATGATCTTAGGTAGTTGGAATTACTGCTTCCGGAAGGGGCAGCGAGGTCGATATTTCTTGCTGGGGCGTAGATGTCGACACAAGGACCGTAATTGGAAATTCCGATACGATCATCGCTCGCGCCATTCATACGGTTTCTCGACCCTCCGACCGTGATGACCTAAGAGCAAGAAGCAATGTACAAAAGATAAATAGTGCACAGGGTGACGAGACGTCTTTCAAAGGGAAGAGGGGGGGGGGGTAGTAGAAAGTCTTCAGGGAAGATGGGGTACCTACAAAGTGTAACCGCTATGGGGAAAATATAATTGCGTAAACATGATTGTGTATCCCTAAATTTAGTTAATAGTTTCAAGGATCGTCAATATTGAATTGCTTTTCTCCTTTCGCCGTTTTCCTTTTATAGATAGCGGCGTTCGCGTCATAAGTTGCCGTTGTTTGCAATGAACTTAATAATTCTTTTGCGAGCGAGCGAATCAAAACAATGAACTGGAAATTCAAGAATAATGCCATAATTGCATGGAATAAATAAATGCGGGCGAGTGTAGCAAAACAGCTTTGAGGTAATTTCACAAAATAGTGCTCTCACTTGGTTAAATTAGGGAGGAAATGTCTTGTCATAGCCCCTGTTGTAATAATGCCTCTTTGCAATATGATTGATTTGTTGTGAATTTTTCTTAACGTTTACCAGATTTGTCAAAAAGATCTTATCACATGTGAAAAGGGACACTAAGCCCAATTCAATTGATTTAAAGGAGAAACACTCATTATAAAGGAAAAGGGGAACTTAACAGTAGTAAAAGAGTGCACTTCTCAGAGCCGGAAAGGAGCACTCATTAGAAAGGAAAACTGTCAGGGAACTATAGCAGGAAAATGTTTTTATCATAATAGGTCAAACTTTTATTGAGCGAACTCGATGCACCCCCCCCCCCTTCCGCCCCTCCCCCTCCCACCCCTCCCACCCTCCCCCACCCCCTCCCGCCCCCTCCCTCGAGAGAGCGACTTGTCAAAACTTGGCCGGGGCCTTGTTTCAGTCGAGATCGAAGGAGAAAAGATAACTGAACTCGGCAGGGCGCCTTGTTTAAGTCAAGAAGGCGAGAAGGTGACCTGTTAATACTCGCCAAGACGTCTTGTTAATAAAGAGAAGGTGAGAAGATGATATTCAACCACTTGTCTTTATCGTCTTCTCGCTTTAAACAAGGCGCTTATTTTTTCTTCAACTCAAGCAAGTCGCCTTCTCGCTGCACGATTAACCGCTCGTGCGCCCTTCCATGTTGAGCTCTCGGATTCGGTGAATTGGGACTTTTAGATGTGCACGTCGACATAGTAGACTGCTACGTGTGACGTCCTTTTCAGGCACTGGGACGTCCTTTTAAAGCACTGCCTCTGCCTTAAAAGGACGTCACACGTAGCAGCCCACTATTTCAACGTGCAAAACTAAAAGTCCCTAATATTTACATCAGGTGATCCAGACGGTGAGTAGTTACAGGCATCAGCCATGCTGATGTCCGCACCTTGGTTTCCAGCTGCCACGACGACCACGCAATCGGTGTTTGCGCTGAGGTTCCCGAAAGCATAGTTGAGTGTAGTACTAAAGGACGTGGAAATCAGTGAGTAGGAGACGACACACTTAGAACCCGGGTTGTTGTTCCACCAACGTTGAATGTCGTCAAGCCCTGTATTAATAGGACGTAAGAAACAAAAATGTAGGTGACATTACAAGTGGTCCTGCCATATTATTGCTGCTTGATTTATTTCGTGATTGGTAATAGAGTCGTGAAAAGGTTGCATTCAGTGGATTGTAGGCTAGGTTTGGGGGTTATGGCTAGGGGTAGGTGTTAGGGTAAGGTAGGCCTATAATAATTCAAATATTATTGTTATTTAAAAAGAAACTCGATTTTTGTTTTTGTCCAAAGTGCTGAAAACACCTTGGACCGTGCTTGTGGCATGATAATGTGGTCCAAATAACATTCAGCGAGTATTTGTAATATTATGAATATGAGGGCATCTGAAGAACCATCCTTCTACACTAACATAAACAGAATGAAAAAGCTCACAATTTCAAAATTACAAAGTACATACCTGCGAGGACGTCATCAGCGGCGGCTAAGCCATCGGATCCAGCTACCCGAATGCTCTCTACGGTCGCGCCCTGAGCGACTCCTATGTTGGCTCCGGCGGCTACGCTCGCACAGCGGGTCCCATGTCCATTGACGTCCACCATAATGGGCGACTACAAAACAAGAATCAGGATTTAGAAGAGATATGAAAACTTAATAATGTAATGCCTCGTTCAGATATCTAGCGGTAAACAGCGGCTGTTTTTATTTGATTTATTACAAATATATTCGGGGGGGGGGGTGATTCACCGCGTCATATCTGGACCAGCCTTTAAGCATCCGCAATGGACTGTCTACCCCCCCCCCCCCTCCCATACGCCATATTTTCCAGGTTTTTGACAAACACGACTTTTTGCATGGTTAGTAATTAGATTTTGTTTTAAGGGAGGGGGCATAACTTTGTTAGGTCTATATTCCAAGGATAACATTCCTTAACCCCCTTGTTTTAACGTTAGGCCTAGAGTACTGATATTTCCTTCGCAATACGCATGATATGCATAGCTAGAGGGCGACTTAATTTGATTCACGTAAAATGCTAAAGAGTCGTAAGTAAGAATGATACTCACGTTAGGTGTAACGGTATCGTTATAAAAGCTGACGCGGCCGTTGGTAAACTCATCGTGAGTAAACAGGACTCCAGTATCAAGAATGAAGATAGTCACGTCTGTCGCATCATCTGAGGAAGAAAATAAAAACATGGACGTTACAAAGCTTATAGTCGGGTAAAGCCGAACCCTATATTTAAAGGGCTACGTAAGCCCAATGAAACAATACTTCGTCGGCAGTTTTATGAACCGACGAAACCGTCATATATAATGTTTCACTAGCCTCCTGAAATAATATATGGCGCCATAAAGACCTACCTGTAGTAGAGTGAAATAATAAATACAAATGTGGTCTTTTATCAGTGTTAGTACGACTCTTCCTGCGGGCCTTGCAGCCTTTAGGCCAAATATAAAAAAAACATGTTTAGCGTCCTGTTTTTTCGAAAAATAGGAAGGAGGAGGCCCCCTTTTTTTTTTTCTTTCAAAACGGCCTCTCAAAATGGCCGCTCGGTACATTTTCCCTGACAGTCGGGCTATTTTTCAAGATGGCCGCCGACTTTTTTCCCCCTTTTTTTAAAAATCAGAAATAGATCCATTTTAGCAGTGTTTTTCATGGTCTTTTTCTTTAAAAAATTTCAACAAAAAAAAACCAAAAAAAATAGCAGGCAGCCCCCCAAAAAGGAAGCGAGCGGCGACGCTAAACATGTTTATTTTTTTAATGGCCTTATAACCCCAACAGTTTCTAGGGAAATTGTGATTCAATTGGCAAACAATAAATTGTTTTCTTACAATGTTTATCTTTCTGTTGTTGTCCATTGTGTACAATGCAAGCACTTTCATGGGATTTTATCACATGCACCTACGCGCCTTGAGAGTTTGATTCGATGTGATTAGGATTCGGTGCCTTAAAAGTCTCTCATAATATTTGTTTATATCATTGTTGTTATTATTATTATAATTATTATTAACATTATAATAATAATTGATATTAATATCATTATTATTATCATTATAATAATTATTGTTATTGACTCACTTCTGTCATAAGAAGCTCCATCACGGGGAAGATCTACCTGATCAATTCGGTCCAGTAGCTTGACGGGCAGGGTAGGCAGAGCAGCGCCGACTTCTTGTACCGAGTTCTCTTCCACGAGGTAACCTTTCTTAGCTAGCTGTGGGAGAAAACAGATCAGGAACGGTCGGTTCAATGCAAAAAAGGCTCTAACGTTATAATACTGTCGATGTCTCTCGTGTCTTTCATCGACGAGGTGACGGCTAAAGGGCGCGGGGACATGACATCCCGCCCCTTAACAATTCTGTAGGCATATCCAGAGCTGCAGCATAAAGGGGAAATTTATTACTTTTTTGCTCGTCTGTAGATGAGTTTGTAAATTAACGACCACTCATTGCCATCAGCGAGAAATGAGAAAGTATGATGACATTTTGGTAAAGGGATCCGATAACTTTGTCTCAGATTCTAGAAAAAATCATGGATTTAGCTCATGCTGCAATGATAAATATAAACCTTTAGGTCAGTCAGGAACCCCATGAATTTTACAAGCTGATCGTCTGTCTGATTATCAAGATATTTATGATTGGAAATCGAAACCAAATTTTGCGTTAGCCCAACGGTTTTCATAACACTACAGTCTATTACAGAAAACGAGTATGGCACTTCTTGATCATTTTGAAGCGCGATTTTTAGGGCTTTAATATTACACCATATCACAGAAACTGGTAACACGTAGGGCCATCATCTCAGATTTAACATTGTTATCTTGTTCCCCTCCCCCCTCCCCCTTCCCTCCTTCCCTCCCTCCATCCCACTTTATAAAAGGTTTATTAAAATCATTGACAAGGCTAGAAAGAGAAAGCGATGTTTGTCAATTGAATGAATGTCTGCGAACTGTTAAAAAGGAGGATTCTTTAAAACAGAAAAAGATGGTTAAAGAGTGAGTACATGTTTGAAAAAATGTAATGACATTTTGGACTGTATGCGAGTTCTACACAGGGGTACAGAGTTATTCTTGTTCATTTTTACACCAACTTTAATTCTGTCAGATTTATTCCAAAATAAGTTTTAACGAATGCATGTATTGAGTATCATGATAACATTTGGCTGTTACCTTTATAGCACACTTTTCTGTGGTTTCAATGGAGACAATGAGGAGAACAATTCGGTGAATGCTCGTTTTATTGTGGAGCAGTCTCGGCATGCTTTCAATTTGTCGATCTTTTTGAACAGCCTGTTATAACTGTGCTGGTCCTGCGGAAATGGAAAAAAGGAGAAGAACAAATAAAAAAAAACGAGGCGCCATGTCAAAGGACAATATATATATATATAAAAGCTGAATATCATTATTATTTTTTGTGGATATTCAAGGCCTGGAAACAATGTGAAGCCTTTCGACAAGTGTTCTGACAACTGCAATATTCCGCTTACATTTACATGATAAAAATCATCAATAATTATGTCGACCAAATTTCAAAATGATGAGAGTGAGAAAAGCAATTGACGTTTGATTTCACATCAAATCTCACATAGGCCCATTCTGCATCGTAATATGACAAAAGAATCATGTAACTTAATTGTTTTGTGAGTAGAACATGTGCTTTTCATCGAGATAATTTCAATTTCTAATCATTTTGATGATTCTAAGCTCCGACATATTCGAAAATTTTAAGTACTACATCACCAACCTCGCTTTGAGACTGTCTCTGTCACAATGTAATTGAATATAACCAGAACTCAACGTCAGTCCTGTCCCTAACTCTGTATATGCCATACAAATACATGATTGTAATCTCGCTGTGCCACATTGTATTGATCATGGGATTGATATACCACGGCTTCAAGATCATCGAACTGCTTCCGGGGCAAGAGTTATAGATTATGTACCGGTGTTAAATATGGTTGTCAGAATGGACTTGGAAGTGGTCATTTTACCAAACCAGTGGGTTGCACACATCAACCCTCTCCGTCAATCGGTGCTAATTGTTTTGTGCAAAATTACAGGTATGGCAAACGGGCGACCGTGCACAGAGACGAAGAGAGCAATCTAACTGCTACACTGTAATTTACCCGTTAAAACTCTAAATAATCTGATTATATTAATATTTTATGAACTTACTGGGGAAGTGACTATATAGCTGGTTGTGCATGAACATTTCAGGCTATTGTGCGTTTCGACGTCCATGGGCGGTCCCTCGTCGCACAGGTCTTCATCGGTGAGTTCGTTGTCATCATCATCGGACTCCGAAGAGTAGCTTGCTATCACGTTAGCCCTGGCAAGGTATTCGAAAACACATAATAGTACTAGTCATCGTAATAGTAATAGTTATACCAATAATAACACTAATAGTAATAATAACTAATAATAGTAATGATAAATAACAATAATAATTATGATGAGGATAATAATAATATCAATACACAGTACACACTGTTTCCCAACAGATTTATCAAGAACATTCTGAGAGGGTATAACCTTTGGTTATAGATCAAGAATACAATAATATTGTCACAATCATTTCATGAAAAGAGGTTAAGAAAAATGTATTCCAACTTTATGGGCAGCAGTGTTATAATAATGACAAGTTCCCGGTCTCATACAGAGCATTCCACATAATATAGCGTCTCCATGCTCTTCTTAAGGATACCGGCTTTAGACCCGGCAACTGTGAGTAGCGCTCAGTGCATTCAAGGAATGAATCCTACAAGGAATGAATCCTACAAGGAACCCACCTACTACACCTACGACGAATGTGGTAAAGATGTTCGTCTTGCCCAAAGGACGTTATTGCTGCGCAGGGATTCAAAAGCCATACCGTGTGATTCACAGTCTGCAAACTTATCCACTGGACCACAACACCTCTATATATAAGTACTAGCTTTGTCATTGTACGTCTTTTCTTTTCCTTTTCTCTCTGTTTGGAAGAAGGCTTATATAACGTCCAATGCTATCATTGTTTTTTTTTGCCGATTCTATTTTCTGTTTCCAGATGAGATTAAGAAATATCTATACAGAAATGCAAATCATGAATGGGACCTATAGGAAAGACAACAGTAGGACCTATGATTATATTCGTTACAACTAAAACATGGACTGTACTCATAACAATAAAATAAATATTCTAGTTTTAAGTCGCTTTATGATGGTATAGGCCAATAGATATCTATAGCACTGTGTGCAGATTGCATAGAGCTTTGTATAACAACTGAATAAAGAATAGAATAAAGAGTATACGATACCAGGCGAGGGCCAAAACGGCAATCAGGATCCAAACGTTGGTCTTCATGGTGGAGGTTTGTGGATCTTCTGTGTTCTCAGAGTGGTTTCCTCAGCAGGATGAGTTCTGTCTAAAACCCATCTCAATTTATAGGCATTTTTCAGTGCCGTGACAGAATATCGGTTACATCTCGAAATATGGAATAGAAATCTGTTTTTTGTTTGATGTTGTTTAACATATTTATTATTTTGACGTTATTTGTACATAGTCTACTGTTCCTTTTGAATCAATAAATATATGTAAACAGCTTCGTGTATTAGAAACGTCGTTTGCGTGTGACCCAGCATCAGTTACCTGTAGAAGATATGGTATAGATATCTACATCTCGTTTCAAATCTTTATCATTTTGACTATATTGACGTTATTTATTTGGTCCACTTTTCCTTATAACGAATAAATATCTGTACACAGCTTCATGCAAATAATATACTGTAATAAATGATGTAGTGAAATAGTTGAAAACGTGCGAAGAACAAAAAGATGCTTTCTCTTCTCTTCACTTATAAAAGAAAAAATAATAGGTAAAATAGATCACGCATAATTTGATATGTCGGTTTTGTTTATTGACGATGAAGATCCAGCTCACGGTGTCTTATGAAAGGAGGGGCTAGGAATACAGATGACAACAGATATGCTTCCGTTTGTTCAGGATCTAGGACGCTTTTTCCTCTCGTGTTAATTAAGGCGATGCCAATTTCGTTTGTTTCTGGTAGATGTGTTTTCTGTTTTCTGTATGTCTTCAATTTTACGACTAAACGTACAATGGCTGTATGTTGTTTTTATTGTAAGTTCACTTTCATTTAATTTTTTGGACCCCAAAGAAGAAAAAGGAAGCCGTGTCATATCAACAAAGGTGAGATGGCCATCGAGCCATTCACTATATTCTTTTCTATGTTTTTTTTTTATTTGTATTGTCATTAGTTAAATAAATACCATATCATTCTCTCTCTCTCTCTCTCTTTCTCTCTTTCTCTCTCTTCTCTCTTCTTACAACCATTATCCGTTTGTCTGTCTGTCTTTTTTCTCACTTCTCTTTTTCTCCTTACTCTCTCTATCTCCTCTTATACCCGCATTCGTCTGTCTCACTCTCTCTCTTTCTCTCTCTCTCTCCTATCGCCTCCTTCATATTTTCTCTCCCCCCCCCCCCTCTCTCTCTCTTTTTCTCTCTCTCTCTCTCTCTCTTATCGCCTCCTCTATATTTTCTCCCCTCTTTTTCTCTATCTTCTCCTAAACCCATACATTTCTTTCAATCTTTCTTTCTTTCTCTTTCTCTCCCACCCACTCTTACCACTTTCCCGGTCCCTTCTCCCTTCCTCCAGGTGTATCAATTAAACAATTAGTTAAATCTATTAAACAAATCATCTTTTAAAAATGAAAATGAAAATAAATCAGACACAGGTATCTTGTTCTCGTGTTTCAGTGTACAGACAGAAGCGATGCGGAAGAGACAACACGTATAAATCCCTTTAAGAAAGTTACGATAAGACCGTGGCCGTACTTTTCTCTTCTTCAAATGAAATGAAATCAAAATTATCTCTGCTTAGAATATTCAGGGGTTCATCACCCTTGCAGAGAAATAGAAATCGTCAATATGTACATGTATGGCGTTAGAATTTAAGTAAACAAAGGATTGAACTTTGGATATGAACTTTGGATATGAACTCATGAGTGAGACACTCCCATGTACGTGAGGGGTGAGCCACAGGGAAAAAATACTAGGGAATCCCCTCTTGTACTCGGTTGTAGTCCTATATGTATATATGATTATATATATTAGATACTTGTGAATATTCATGTTATTGATAACACTGCCACAGACCTGTTTAAGAACAAAAAGATAGAATATTTGTCTACGAGGCTGGGCTTTCAGCAACCATACCATTATAAAACTATCTTTAATAAAGTATAAGAGTTTATATTTAATTCAGAAGTAAAAGTTGAATGTATACGGACACTCGTAAAGTGGATTATTCTTCTTTGAAATGGCGAAAACAAGTAACCATACTTTTTAAAGCTTATATTTGTTACGGTATATATATGAGAGAAGTATTAGAACTGTTCGGCAGTTGATGAATTTGCTCGTACAGCTGAAACTTGAGTGTCCATGCATTGGAGTGCACAACAATGCATGGCCATTAAGTTACAGCTGTTAGTCTTTGTAAATTTAGTCGCCTGCTTATCCAGATCTTTTGTTTTGTTTTCATTGAAAATATTTTGATTTTTCTTCATATTTGTTCTACGATTTCTTTTCACAGACACATGTGCGCGCACAAACACACGAACGCACACAAGCAGTTTTCTCCGATAATGACCGCAAGTAAGATTATGATGATTTAACAAGTTGATTGCCAAATTAAAGCTTGGGTCCGAAAAGATATTTTAATTTCGATTAACTTTCATAATGAGTTAATTCTCAGTGACGTGTAGAACATGGTAATGAAATGACCACATATCTTGGATATTTTTTATGGGGGGGGGGGGGATTCTCGAAATCATTATCACCAAAGACGTTATTTGTTTTAACAATTACCCCCCCCCCCCCTGATAGATCCTGCGGACTTGATCAATCTTCTTAATTGCTTCATGCTATTGCAATTTATAAATCCTCTTTAGAAAGAGATAGAAGAGGCTCTCAATTTGATTTAAAGCTTTCAGTTGCGGGATAACGTTCTTCCCAAAACCTCTAAATAATAATTGGTGTTTATATCTTTTCCTTTTTTCATTTATCTCTTAGATTCGATTAGAGGGGAGGTGTCCCCCTGTTCCTTATATAGTTTCGCATCTGAGTATTAGTCGTATACCTTGTAGATAATTGCTTTGCTATATATGATTAAGTGATGTATTGGCATGAAATCAGTACCTTTCTGTGAGAGACTTGTCCACCTCCTGTCCTGTACCCCTCATGGCAAACTCAGTTGCCTTCTTTCTATAGTACACAATATTAAAAAAATATATATTTCTAATTACAAATTGGTAATACTTAGACCCAGTGGGAACGAGTAATTATGGATTCTTACCAAGACACACAAAATAGCTTTGCAAACTTGTGTGTAGGTATAGGTCTCTTGAAATCACTCAGGGAAATCAAACGGTCACACTTTTCTGATTAATCATTATGACTTGTGATTAATCCCACAACCATCATTCTCATCCCCTTCCCTTGAGACACATATTAACGAATCCATCAAACAATTTTTTGTATTACATTTTAATCGAAACACATTGTACAATATAATGATGCATGATACATGGGTATAACATTACAAAGAGCGAATTCCAGCTAATGCGTCCACATAATACAAGCAATTTATACATCACAATTAGCAGAGATCAAAGCTTAAGTCTGTAGATGCAAACATGAGCTACAAGCTAGATGACATCCATGTCAATGACAACTGCTCTTCACACAAAAAATATCAGGACTTCGGACGCCCACGATTTTGTCGAAATAAAGTTTCACTATGTATTACAAACAAAAAAATTGTTACGGTGGTACAATCACTAAACGATTTTCATTTTTTTTTGTTGAGATCTGGGAAAAGAAAATATCAAAGTTCTCCTTACCAAAACGTTCCCCTTAGCTGTTCTTGAATGCTTTTCAGTCTTGATAAATCAAAAGTGCTTTATTTATTTTATTACTCAAATTCGCGTAGTGTAATTATTGAGTGCTGTTTTAAATTTCTCGAGGTGTCACATGATCATTTCTTTCATACAATGTAACAAAAAGTTTGAACATCTTTACCTATTAAAGAACAAAATAGAGGAGCTTGCTTGTTTCTGACACTCTCTCAATAACCATGGGAACTGTTTGTTAGCTTTTTTAATATATCATAGACATACTTCTTTCTTCGGACATAGTTGGTCTATGCTCTATCAATGCCAAAAAATATAAACCCAATTTTATGGGCGTCTGACCGTTAATTGTGTACAGTGATAGTGCTTTCTTTTGACAATGTTTGTTGCATGGGCTAAACTTAGGGTGAAATCCGAATCTGGGTCTGTTCGGGGGGGGGGGGGCTCTGTGGGCCGACAACCATTTTCTCCCACTAACCATATAAGCGGGGGACTTGTCGTCCATGACCTAAGTAATGGGTCAAAAGGGGTAAGGTAGGCTCTTGACGCGTGTGTGGGGGGGGGGGGGGGGGGGGGAGAGGATGGAAGAGATTGGAGAAAATTATAGAGAGCTAAAAAGAGAAGAGAGAGAGGAGGAGGAAAAGAGAAAGAACAAGAAAGAGAGAGAGAAAGAGAGAGAGCGCGCTTGTGTGTGTGTGTGTGGGAGAGAGAGAGAGAGAGAGACAAAAAGACATACAAATACAACGTGTGTGTATGTGTGTGTGTGTGTGTGTGTGAGAGAGAGAGAGAGTAGGGGTGCGAGAATAGACAATGCAATGTCTCTCCCTTCATTATGTCTTTCCCTTCCCCATGTCTCTCCCCTCCCCTCTCTCTCTCTCTCTCCTCCCCTCTGTCTCTCTCTCTCTCTCTCTCTCTCTCTCTCTCTATCTTTCTCTTTCTCCTCTCTCTCTTCCTCTTTCTATATATCTATCTCTCTCTCTCCTTATAATCCTTTTGGCATTCGCTAACATCAGGAATATATTTTTTTATTAAATCCTTTAAAGGTTCTTGATGGGTTGCACTTCGATTAACTTAGAAAAACAAGAAACTAAGAAAACAAGAAATATATGCTTACTAACAATATCATTCGTTTATTGTCATCATTTCATTGCTTAATTTTCAATATTTAGAATACATGGTAAAGAAAAGGGGACAGAATGTAGAGCAAAACCTATGCCAATGGAGATAGGACAAAATACATTGTTATCTAACAGTATACATGATATACATAGTCCTGGGGTGGGTAATATAAAGAGCTTATATTCCCTAAGTGGTATATTTTCGAGACGCGCACAGCACTAAAAGAAAATACGCCAAAGGTCCAAAAGCGACTTGCCAGTGAATGTTTATATTTTGGTTGTTACAGATATGGATTACTAAAAACTACATACTCTAATCTAGAAATGAAAATACTTGTAAATGATCCTGTGAATAACAGAATTGCCCAAGCCTCACCGACCCTCCCCCCCCCCCCGAATAAAGAAATGGTCATGCTACAGTCGTTTTTTTTTTCAATGACATGAGGTGGACATGAGAAGAAAGATTAGGTTATAACAGTTCTAGCAAGAAACGAAAACTAACCACCAATAATATCGAGAACATCAAACGAAATTTTCATTTAAATAAAAGATAGAAACGTTTGATACCGTCACTTATATTACTTCATCATTTTTTAATCAGCTATAAATCAATTTAAACTATAGGTTGTCTTCTACCTGGGTTCCAATGACGAGGTCAATGACAAAGACGATGATATTGACAATGTCAATCACCATGATACATTGTCATCACCAACTACACCCACCGGGGGTTTATGCGTAGTAAGTATTGCTGACAACGTTTAGAAGGCGGTTAAAGGAGGGTAAAACCGCGGCGTTGCTCGCTGGAAGACTCGTCAGCTTGTCCTTGGCACTTGTCGCAATAAGGATGTCCAGGACGAGATCGGTCATTGTCTCACTCCCAGTAGGTGTCAGGCTAGTAGTGGACAGAATCATGGCGGCAGCACCTAGGTACACCAACCGTAAAGATATGATAATAATAGTAGTAATAATAACGATAACAATAATAATAATAATAATAATAATAATATAATACTAGTTTAAATTGGAGGCCTAATAGATATTTCAGAGCGCACATGTTAACCACGCATCAACATTAGATACATTCTGCGACAAAAATCCTTTTGTTGCTGTACTAATCCGAGGACATTCCTTTACCTTTACCATACTAACCGAATTCATAACTTCAACTCTGGATGGACCACACATTTAAAGGTTTTTAGGGTTAGGTTTAATCATAGGTTTAATCATACCTTTTACCTAAAACCCGACTGCAACCTTCCCCTCATTATTATTATCATTAATTATTATTATTACTATTAATATGATTATTATGATCATAATTATGATTATAATTATGATTGTCTTAATTATTATTATTGATTTTCCTACCTGCCACCGCAGGGGTTGCAAAGGAGGTGCCGGATGATCTTAGGTAGTTGGAATTACTGCTTCCGGAAGGGGCAGCGAGGTCGATATTTCTTGCTGGGGCGTAGATGTCGACACAAGGACCGTAATTGGAGATTCCGATACGATCATCGCTCGCGCCATTCATACGGTTTCTCGACCCTCCGACCGTGATAACCTAAGAGCAAGAAGCAATGTACAAAAGACAAATAGTGCACCGGGGTGACGAGACGTCTTTCAAAGGGAAGGGGGGGGGGTTATAGAAAGTCTTCAGGGAAGATGGGGTACCTACAAAGTGTAACCGCTATGCGGAAAATATAATTGCGTAAACATGTGTATCCCTAAATTTCGTTAATAGTTCCAAGGATCGTCAATATTGCATTGCTTTTCTCCTTTCGCCGTTTTCCTTTTATAGATAGCGGCGTTCGCGTCATAAGTTGCCGTTGTTTGCAATGAACTTAATAATTCTTTTGCGAGCGAGCGAATCAAAACAATGAACTGGAAATTCAAGATTAATTCCATAATTACATGGAATAAATAAATGCGGGCGAGTGTAGCAAAACAGCTTTGAGGTAATTTCACAAAATAGTGCTCTCACTTGGTTAAATTAGGGAGGAAATGTCTTGTCATAGCCCTTGTTGTAATAATGCCTCTTTGCAATATGATTGATTTGTTGTGAATTTTTCTTAACGTTTACCAGATTTGTCAAAAGTATCTTATCACATGTGAAAAGGGACACTAAGCCCAATCCAATTGATTTAAAGGAGAAACACTCATTATAAAGGAAAAGGGGAACTTAACAGTAGTAAAAGAGTGCACTTCTCAGAGCCGGAAAGGGGCACTCATTAGAAAGGAAAACTGCAGAGGGACTCATCACTAGTAAAAGGGGCACTTCTCATTTTTGAATAGCTACTTATGAGAGACGAAGTGGGGGCACTTCTCTGCAGGGGAAGGGCACTGATTGTTAAAGAAAAATAGCATCCTAAATGTAAAATGAAAAAAACGAAAAACATCGATAGACTACAAGACTTGTATGGACCGATTCTCTTTCCATGGTTTTGGGGAGCATTGTAGTTCTTTGCCACAAGAGCTAGATGGGAGCCATCCAAGAGCATAACAACAGATTATTCATTTAGTCAGGGAACTAAAGCAGGAAAATGTTTTTATCATAATAGGTCAAACTTTTATTGAGCGAACTCGATGCACCCCCCCCCCCTTCCGCCCCTCCCCCTCCCAACCCTCCCCTCCCCCTCCCGCCCCCTCCCTCGAGAGAGCGACTTGTCAAAAGTTGGCCGGGGCCTTGTTTCAGTCGAGATCGAAGGAGAGAAGATAACTGAACTCGACAGGGCGCCTTGTTTAAGTCAAGAAGGCGAGAAGGTGACTTGTTAATACTCGCCAAGACGTCTTGTTAATAAAGAGAAGGTGAGAAGATGATATTCAACAACTCGTCTTTATCGTCTTCTCGCTTTAAACAAGGCGCTTATTTTTTCTTCAACTCAAGCAAGTCGCCTTCTCGCTGCACGATTAACCGCTCGTGCGCCCTTCCATGTTGAGCTCTCGGATTCGGTGAATTGGGACTTTTAGATGTGCACGTCGACATAGTAGACTGCTACGTGTGACGTCCTTTTCAGGCACTGGGACGTCCTTTTAAAGCACTGCCACTGCCTTAAAAGGACGCCACACGTAGCAGCCCACTATTTCAACGTGCAAAACTAAAAGTCCCTAATATTTACATCGGGTGATCCAGACGGAGAGTAGTTACAGGCATTAGCCATGCTGATGTCCGCACCTTGGTTTCCAGCTGCCACGACGATCACGCAATCGGTGTTCGCGCTGAGGTTCCCGAAAGCATAGTTGAGTGTCGTACTAAAGGACGTGGAAATCAGTGAGTAGGAGACGACACACTTAGAGCCCGGGTTGTTGTTCCACCAACGTTGAACGTCGTCAAGCCCTGTATTAATGGGACGTAAGAAACAAAAATGTAGGTGACATTACAAGTGGTCCTGCCATATTATTGCTGCTTGATTGATTTATTTCGTGATTGGTAATAGAGTAGTGGAAAGGTTACGTTCAGTGGATTGTAGGCTAGGTTTGGGGGTTATGGCTAGGGATAGGTGTTAGGGTAAGGTAGGCCTATCATAATTCAAATATTATTGTTATTTAAAAAGAAACTCGATTTTTGTTTTTGTCCAAAGTGCTGAAAACACCTTGGACCGTGCTTGTGGCATGATAATGTGGTCCAAATAACATTCAGCGAGTATTTGTCATATTATGAATATGAGGGCATCTGAAGAACCATCCTTCTACACTAACATAAACAGAATGAAAAAGCTCACAATTTCAAAATTACCAAGTACATACCTGCGAGGACGTCATCAGCGGCGGCTAAGCCATCGGATCCAGCTACCCGAATGCTCTCTACGGTCGCGCCCTGAGCGACTCCTATGTTGGCTCCGGCGGCTACGCTCGCACAGCGGGTCCCATGTCCATTGACGTCCACCATAATGGGCGACTATAAAACAAGAATCAGGATTTATGAGAGAAATGAAAACTTAATAATGTAATGCCTCGTTCAGATATCTAGCGGTAAACAGCGGCTGTTTTTATTTGATTTATTACAAATATATTCGGGGGGGGGGGGGGTGATTCACCGCGTCATATCTGGACCAGCCTTTAGGCACCCGCAATGGACTGTCTACCCCCCCCCCCTCCCATACGCCATATTTTCCAGGTTTTTGACAAACACGACTTTTTGCATGGTTAGTAATTAGATTTTGTTTTAAGGGAGGGGGCATAACTTTGTTAGGTCTATATTCCAAGGATAACATTCCTTAACCCCCTTGTTTTAACGTTAGGCCTAGAGTACTGATATTTCCTTCGCAATACGCATGATATGCATAGCTAGAGGGCGGCTTAATTTGATTCACGTAAAATGCTAAAGAGTCGTGAAGTAAGAATGATACTCACGTTTGGTGTAACGGTATCGTTATAAAAGCTGACGCGGCCGTTGGTAAACTCATCGTGAGTAAACAGGACTCCAGTATCAAGAATGAAGATAGTCACGTCTGTCGCATCATCTGAGGAAGAAAATAATAACATGGACGTTACAAAGATTGGGGTCGGGGAAAGCCGTACCCTATATTTAAAGAGCTACGTAAGCCCAGTGAAACAATACTTCGTCGGCGGTTTTATGAACCGACGAAACCATCATAGATAATGTTTCACTAGCCTTCTGAAATAATATATGGCGCCATAAAGACCTACCTGTAGTAGAGTGAAATAATAAATACAAATGTGGTCTTTTATCAGTGTTAGTACGACTCTTCCTGCGAGCCTTGCAGCCTTTAGGCCAAATATAAAAAAAACATGTTTAGCGTCCTGTTTTTTCGAAAAATAGGAAGGAGGAGGCCCCCCTTTTTTTTCTTTCAAAACGGCCTCTCAAAATGGCCGCTCGGTACATTTTCCCTGACAGTCGGGCTATTTTTCAAGATGGCCGCCGACTTTTTTTTCCCTTTTTTTTAAAATCAGAAATAGATCCATTTTAGCAGTGTTTTTCATGTTCTTTTTCTTTAAAAAATTTCAACCAAAAAAACAAAAAAAATAGCAGGCGGCCCCCCAAAAAGGAAGCGAGCGGCGACGCTAAACATGTATATATTTTTAATGGCCTTATAACCCCAACAGTTTCTAGGGAAATTGTGATTCAATTAGCAAACAATAAATCGTTTTCTTACATGTTGATATGTTCTATCTTTCTGTTGTCCATTGTGTACAATGCAAGCACTTTCATGGAATTTCATCACATGCACCTACGCGCCTTGAGAGTTTGATTCGATGTGATTAGGATTCGGTGCCTTAAAAGTCTCTCATAATATTTGTTTATATCATTGTTGTTATTATTATTATAATTATTATTAACATTGTAATAATAATTGATATTAATATCATTATTATTATCATTATAATAACTATTGTTATTGACTCACTTCTGTCATAAGAAGCTCCATCACGGGGAAGATCTACCTGATCGATCCGGTCCAGTAGCTTGACGGGCAGCGTCTTATTTTTTCGTACCACGGCGAGCCCGGATTCCTGTTTTATCATGAATATTCATTAGGCAGGGCCGGGGAAAGTCTCGATTCTCTTGAATATTCATGTACAATCGAGGCATGCGCAGCATCGAATATCGTGTGTAACAAGACTAGTACGTTGGATTAATGGCAGGCCTATAATATGACATAGAAAAGCAATGTCATGGTCATTTAGATAATACAGTCATAAATGCTGTGTTTAATTACTAGTAAATGCCAAAATGTCAGTATCGGTAGACAAGATATATATATAGCATATATTTCAAGTAAGAGCTAGTCTTGATAGGCAATTTGTGAGTAGCCTAGGCCTACTTTTCTGAGATTAATGGGAGTAGTTCTTTTCATGAATTGGTAAATAATCAGTTTTAGGTTTGCTTTTTAAATATTACAAGCAGAGGTTGCATTATGGTATTGAATATGTGATACAGTATTATAAACTGTATAAAATAGATAACAAGAATAGGCCTACATACAGACATTTATCAAAAATAAAATACTTGTGTATTGCACTTAAATTATTTCTATGATCTATGCTCACTTAACTGCATAAGGAAGAAAAGGAAGAAAGAAAAATGGGATTAGAAAGAAGAATAACAAAGTTAAAAAGTAAAATATATATAAATAATAAATGAATGGAAGAAATAAAGAATACGGAATAGATACCAAGGAAGAAAGAAATAAATTGCAAGAAAATTGAAATGAAAAGAAGACAAAAGAAAAAGGGAAAGGAGCAAGATAATATTGATACCATATCTTCAATCTTGTTTTCTTTTATCTTGCCTCTTGTTTTTGTTTAGGCCTAGCTACCATTTTTTCCTTTCCTTTCTCTTTTTCTCTTAAAAGTTCTCTTTGGTTTCTTTCTAAAATAATGAGGGAAGGGGGGGTGGGGGACTCAATGATAATTCATCATTTGAAGGTTTACAATGTGAAGTCCACGAGTTATATGCACCCACTGAAGAAAATCCATGTACAGGGTTGCTGCAGGAACCCCAGCACCCACAGATCCCACGCATGATGAGACAAACTCGAGAGAAAACTACACATTCTTTCACATACATTGAAGAAAAAAAAGAAGAAAAAAATCCAAGATCGGTTGAACTCTTTTTGACCCCTCCCCAGGACGTCGATCAATTACATGTATGTGCCCCCCCCCCCCCAAACTCTGGCTACAGCCCTGGCGATAATTACCCACTATTCAAATCTGACAGGTGCCCCTTTTTCTTCAACAAATGCCCCTTTAACTTCATAATAAGTGCCACTGTTCCATTTTCATAAGTGCCCCTTGTGATATCTGATAAAAGCCCTTTCATTTTTTTTTTACTTTGACACGCGTCCCCTTAAACTTTCTAACAAGTGCCCTTTTACCTTTTGATATGTGCCCCTTTCCCTGTTTAATAGGAGCCCCAACCCCAACCCTTTCTCATAAATGCCCCTTTGACACATGCCCCCTTTTCCTTTTTTTATAATTCCCCTTTTCTCTCTTTCTCTGTCTTTCGAAAACTATCTTCTGCAAGGTTTGTTCTCTTGACTGAGCAACCTGTTGCAATTCCTTTCTGTCTCACTTTCAGTCGTACTTGTTGCCACTCATTTGCATTCACTCGTTATCAACTACCATCAACCATTCCACATTCACTCCATTACTGTCCACATTTCAATTTCATTCTCTTCACTCTCCCTTTTTGCAGCCTTTCCAGGAGCTTTGCTAGAAGTAGAACATTTTTAATGTAGAGGCCAGAGAAACCGGAAAGTATGTTAATCATTTTATTCAAATATCTAACTTGAAAAAAAGGAAAGTGAAACATTGTTTAATTACAATATATTGACATAATTTTGTTAAAGAAAAAATTTGAATTTAACACTGGAAATTTGTAATTGGTTTGCCAGCCCCCCCCCCCAAAAAAAAAAATACACACTCAAAACACAACAGTGGTACCAGGGTTTTTGTTAGGAGGCCCATGTACTGTATAATTTTTATTATTAAGAATAGTTTTCTCTTTTTTATTAATTTGACATTGGCATACCGTAAATTTCACCAGGAACCCCCCCCCCCCTCCCGACACTGCCATTACTTCTACCAACAGTAATGCTATAATTCAAAATTTCACTTTCTAAATCCTTCTAATATAAACATATAATCATATTTGTACAGAGGATAAGATAAGAGGATAGCAAGCCCCCCCCCCCCCCACTCCGTTTTCTTTAGTTGGGAAGCATCGAAACATGATTCTATGAAAGCTACCAGTTTGGATACGAAAGGCAATGAGGATTAGCAGTTCCCATATTTTAATGCATTTAGAGTGTTGTCTTTCAAACCTTCTTACATACAATACTTGAAGTAGCAATAATTTCATAATCTACAAAACTTCCCATACAGAAGTCCATAGAGGTAAATGAATTTTAACATGTATAATTATAATCAAAATATCATTGATTAATTCAATCTTTGATATAGACTGATAGACCTTTATCAATCAAATTTGAAGGAGAATCTTTCTGCCCAGTCCTCAGTTTCATCCTATAAGATGGTAGTTGACATTGTTAGAATTTTAATGTTTATTCGTTGAGGATTAGTTATCTTTAATTATTTGAAAGTCGACAAGATGATAAACTTCATTAGCTTTATTGAATGTAGTATTCTACAAACATATAATACAAATAACAAATAAATATCATGTAAATATTCCAGTTTAAACCCATCTCTATTGTCCTTTTTCATTATATGAGGGTGGCATCTTTAAGACGTAGTCTCGTGTAGATATCTTCTGCATCCATCACTAAAGTTGTAGCCTAGTTTTCAGAAAAAAATATAACCCAAGTCTGTTGAATGGAAAAATGAAATAAGATATAAAAAAATCAACAATGACTAATAACATACACCCTGATACCTGCTCAGAAAAAGGAAGGACTGAAATTCACTTGGGGTTCTAGTGGGCAAACCTAAACTATTTTTTGTACAAGACTAGTTTAAATACTGACCGCATCTTAAATTATTACTGATGATCCCATTAAGATGATAGGCCTGCTGGAGCTCGGATCAGACAAGGTATGAAATAAGTAATACAATGTAATACAACTCGTGCTCATACCGGTAATTGAATAATACTCGGTTAAGTATGGGACATAAAATGACCAAACAACTTTGACCAGAGAATGTACTGGAAATAATGCTACTGAAACATACGTAATGTAGACTTATATTTCATCTATATTGACATTTAATTTTTAATCTAAATTACAATTGTGATATTAAGTCAATTATTCTTTTACAAGTCAACTGACAATGAAAAATATCTGTTTTAGATCTATAATTTTCTCCATGACATTTGTTCCACAAAAATTTATTGGGGGTACCTTCATGTATATTAGCACACTTGCTCGTATGAAGTGTAGTAGGCCCGCATCTCTAGATATGATCCCGTCAACATCTGTTCTTTGTTCCTCTCCTGAGTTTGCAAACCAGAATGCCTTCATCATCCACTGTAGAGAGGCATCATCCTACATGAGAGAATACAAAGTAGGTACATGTACTTCAATTAAAAACTGATACTGATCGATACATATCAACCATAATACATCCTATAAACAGACTTTTATCAATCTTATTTTGTGTTCTTCTTCATCTTCATTGCTCAAGAAGTGAAAGTACCCCTTACAAAAAAAAAAATGAGGGGTCCTGTGTATACCCTACATGTAGTGCTTATACAATGTGCATTTGATATGGCTCTTCTAAACACAGGACCTCCTGTAAATAAGGACAAATTTTCCTTTGTAAACATAGAAAGAAAAGACATCAATATTTGTATACTAGGTGCAGAACTAGAATAAAATATACCCTCCACTATATATGCTTGCAATGTCAACTTAGTTCCATTTCCTTTTGAGTGAATTAATAGGTGGTCGTTTAATATGTGTGTGCTAAATAACCTGATAACTGTACCTGCATGGGACTTTCTGCTTCATCTTGCAAATATAAGAGATGTTGTAATGTCCTCCTTCCAGCTCTTCAGTTTCAATCTTTTGGAACAAAAAGAAGAAGAAAATCAATACGACAATCAAGGCATCCCTTTCTCCTTAACAAAATAAAATAGATCTAGCATAATTCAAATTAATAGATATTTTTATGTCATGGTTGGCCTTAATTTTAATATGGTGTGGAAATCAACATTCCTATTTAATGAACCACAGTACAAAGTAAAACTAAATGGAAGATTTAACTTGTGCATCAAACAGTGGTTTCTATGGCCTATGAACACGAAGCAGTACTAAGTAGAATTAGTTTATTATAACAAAAAGAGGTGGACTACATACCATATAAGCAGAGGCGGCGCTCCGAGAGGGGGGGGGGGGGGGCAGAGTGCCCTCCCATTTGGTCAAGTACCCTAAAAGTGCCCCTTTTTGCATAGGATAAGTGCCCCTGTTTACATAGGAAAGTGCCCCTTTTACTCTGACAAGTGCCCCTATTAAGTTTTTAAAGTACCCCTTCCCCTTTTAATAACTACCCCTTTTAACTTGGATAAGCGCACCTTATATCTTCACATGTGCTCCCTTTCATTTTTAATAAGTGCCCCTTTTTCTTATAAGTGCCCCCATTTAAAAATAGGCCCTTTCCCTTCTCATAAATGCCCCTTTTCATCTATGAAAATAGTTCCTTTTCATTCTCTTAAGTGCCCCTTTTCATCTCTTGTAAATGACCCTATTCACTTCTGAGAGATACTTGTTTTACTTTGACAAGCACCCCTTCCCCTCCTAGTCAGTACTCTTTTCATCTCTTATAAATGCCCCTTTTATTTTGACACGTCCTCCTTTTCCTTCCTATATAATGCCTTTTTTCCTTATAAGCACCCTTACCCCTTATCATAATTACCGGTATTACTTTTCGTCTTTGATAAGTGCCCCGTTTATTTAAACATGTGCCACTTTTTCTTTTTAATAAGAGCCACTTCCCTTTTTCATAAATGCCCCTTTTCACTGCTTATAAATGCCCCCTATCAAAATCTGATGGGGGCCTCTTTTCCGTCGACAAATGCCCATGTTCTTATCATCCCTGGTGCATGCCTCTTTGTTTAGGTGTAAGAAGTGCCCCATTTTCACCTCTGATAATTAGCCTTTGTACTTTGACACATGCTTCTTTTCTTTTCTGATAAGTGTCTTAACCCTTTCGATAAGTGTCCCCTTTTCCTCTCATCATTAAACGTGTCCCTAATTTCAAGCGACTAAAAGCAATTTCCCACAAAGCTCGCTCGCTACGCTTGCCCATAGTTATAGATGTTATAATTATGTAACTTATCACAGATCTATTCAGTCTTCCGTTATGAGATTGTGCTTATATAACCCCATCAGGATTGGGTTTTCCTCTTTATAAGATGTAATTTTTCGCACTGCAAGCCAAAAACTGCAAAGTATGATACTTAAGCAATATCTTAAATGCTGTATTAAGAGAAACAAATATTGAAATCATCCCTGATAATGTAATCACAAAATAGGGGTATATACCAATGTAAAAAAAATGGTATATTTTCCCTCTGAAGGTGCCCTTTTTTCAAGAAAGTTTTTTGTTGGTGCCCCCCCCCCCCCACTTTGGAAGTTGCTCCGCCGCCTCTGCGTATAAGTAAACATAATTGTCGACTACCCTAGGGGTCTTCTCTTATACAACGTCCAACAAAAAATAGATTTATCAAATGAACTGCACACTTTGGAGAAGAAAAAATCTTTAATATAGGTCTAGATCTAGAAAAGTTATGACAACTTGACAAGCACACTGGACACACACAACATCTGAACATTAAATAAATGAATCCTAGGTCTAGTTTGTTTGTTTTTGAATATTTTTATTAATAAGTTCCAGGTTTACGTCTAAATGAAATATGGTTTGGAGCCGTTTGATTATCCATGGTCACAAACAATTTTGGTCTAAAAGTTGACACGCACCAATGATGCAACTGAGCGAACGGATAGCACTTAGTCTTAGTAATAGTATTTGAGTAGGCCTATAGCCAACAGAGTCGACATCTACTAAAGATATAAACAAGAATTAACCCTCTTGGATTATTAAAGAAATCATACTTCATAGATTATTTTAAGGTGTAACGTTCAATGGATGATTGGTGAATTAGATTCACGATGACGATCAAATTTGGAATAAAACCTGATCAGAAAGTTTTATCTTGATGCAGATGAGCACCGAAATTCCCCAACGTGGGCCTGCCGGAACCCCGGGGCTCTATAAGGTGACATGAAGGCAAACCGCAGTCAAACTACTTCACGACGATGAAAATCAAAGTGCAATTTCAAGAGAAATATTTTCCTAGCCTTTTCCCCACAAATCTGTTGAGAACAGTCTCAAAATGTAAAGAAATTACAGTAGATCACGAATTACAGCTTTTTCAAATTAATGACTAAATTCTCTTAATCTACTGATATTTCAATCAATTACTCACCCATATGCATTCTCCGTGAACTAAATCTTCTCACTTTGTGCGAGTATAGCGCGCGTCGTGCATTCCCACCTCGATATGAATATTTAAGAGAATCGAGACTTTCCCCGACCCTGCCTAATGAATATTCATGATAAAACAGGAATCCGGCCTCGCCGTGGTACGAAAAAATAAGACGCTGACGGGCAGGGTAGGCAGAGCAGCGCCGACTTCTTGTACCGAGTTCTCTTCCACGAGGTAACCTTTTTTAGCTAACTGTGGGAGAAAACAGATCAGGAACGGTCGGTTCAATGCAAAAAAGGCTCTAACGTTATAATACTGTCGATGTCTCTCGTGTCTTTCATCGACGAGGTGACGATTAACGGCTAAAGGGTGCGGGGATATGACATCCCCGCCCCTTAACAATTCTGTAGGCATATCCAGAGCTGCGGCATAAGGGGGAAATTTATGACTTTTTGCTCGTCAGTAGATGAGTTTGTAAATTGACGACCACTCATTGCCATCAGCGAGAAATAAGAAAGTATGATGAACATTTTTGTTAAAGGGATCCGATAACTTTGTCTCAGATTCTAGAAAAAATCCTGGATTTAGCTCATGCTGCAATGATAAATATAAACATTTAGGTCAGTCAGGAACCCCATGAATTTTACAAGCTGATCGTCTGTCTGATTATCAAGATATTTATGATTGGAAATCGAAACCAAATTTTGCGTTAGCCGAACGGTTTTCATAACACTACAGTCTATTGCGGAAAACGAGTACGGTAAAACCGGTCACTCAAAGATTTTTACTTTTTTGAGGCATTTCTTGATCATTTTGAAGCGCGATTTTTAGGGCTTTAATATTACACCATATCACAGACACTGGTAACACGTAGGGCCATGCATCTCAGATTTAACATTGTTAAACGATGCCTTTAAGGTTTTACACGTTATAATTTGTTACAAATATCTTGTCCTCCCCCTTCCCTCCCTCCATCCCACTTTATAAAAGGTTTATTAAAATCATTGACAAGGCTAGAAAGAGAAAGCGATGTTTGTTAACTGAATGAATCTCTGCGAACTGTTAAAAAGGAGGATTCTTTAAAACAGGAAAAGGTGGTTAAAGAGAGCCACAGTGAGTACATGTTGGAAAATGTAATGACATTTTGGACTGTATGCGAGTTCTACACAGGGGTACACAGTTATTCTTGTTCATTTTTACACCAACTTTAATTCTGTCAGATTTATTCCAAAATAAGTTTTAACGAATGCATGTATTTGAGTATCATGATAACATTTGGCTGTTACCTTTATAGCACACTTTTCTGTGGTTTCAATGGAGACAATGAGGAGAACATCTGTGAATGCTCGTTTTATTGTGGAGCAGTCTCGGCATGCTTTCAATTTGTCGATCTTTTTGAACAGCCTGTTATAACTGTGCTGGTCCTGCGGAAAGGGGGAAAAAAAGGAGAAGAACAAATTAAAAAAAAACGAGGCGCCATGTCAAAGGACAATATATATACATATATATAAAAGCTGAATATCATCATTATTATTTGTGGATATTTAAGGCCTGGAAACAGCCTTTCGACAAGTGTTCTGACAACTGCAATATTCCGCTTACATTTACATGATAAAAATCATCAATATGTCGACCAAATTTCAAAATGATGAGAGTGAGAAAAGCAATTGACGTTTGATTACACATCAAATCTCACATAGGCCCATTCTGCATCGGAATATGACAAAAGAATCATGTAACCAAATTGTTTTGTGAGTAGAACATGTGCTTTTCAGCGAGATAATTTCAATTTCTAATCATTTTGATGATTCTAAGCTCCGACATATTCGAAAATTGTAAGTACTACATCTTCAACCTCTCTCATTCAGTGGCTTCGAGACCGTCTCTGTCACAACGCAATTGATAAACCAGAACTCAACGTCAGTCCTGTCCATAACTCTGTATATGCCATACAAATACATTATTGTAATCTTACTGTGCCACATTTTATTTATTATGGAATTGATATACAAGTACCACGACTTCAAGATCATCGAACTGCTTCCGGTGCAAGATTTATAGATTATAATTATACCGGTGTTAAAATATGGTTGTCAGTATGGACTGGAAAGTGGTCATTTTACAAAGCCAATGTGAAGCAGACATTAACCCTCCCTTCAATCGGTGCCAATTGTTTTGTGCAAAATTGCAGGAGTTGCAAACGGGCGACCGTGCACAGAGACGAAGAGAGCAATCGAACTGGTACACTGTAGTTTACCCGTTAGAACTCTAATCTGATTATATTAATATTTATGAACTTACTGGGGAAGTGACTATATAGCTGGTTGTGCATGAACATTTCAGGCTATTGTGCGTTTCGACTTCCATGGGCGCTCCCTCGTCGCACAGGTCTTCATCGGTGAGTTCGTTGTCATCATCATCGGACTCCGAAGAGTAGCTTACTACCATGTTAGCCCTGGCAAGGTATTCGAAAACACATAGTAGTACTAGTCATCGTAATAGTAATAGTTATACCAATAATAACACTAATAGTAATAATAACTAATAATAGTAATGATAAATAACAATAATAATTATGATGAGGATAATAATAATATCAATACACAGTACACACTGTTTCCCAACAGATTTATCAAGAACATTCTGAGAGGGTATAACCTTTGGTTATAGATCAAGAATACAATAATATTGTCACAATCATTTCATGAACGGAGGTAAGAAAAATGTATTCCAACTTCATAGGCAGCAGTGTTATAATAATGACAAGTTCCCGGTCTTGTAAAGTGCATTTCACATAATATTGCGTCTCCATGCTCTTCTAAAGGATACCGACTTTAGACCCGGCAACTGTGTGTAGCGCTCAGTGCATTCAAGGAATGAATCCTACAAGGAACCCACCTACTACACCTACGACGAATGTGGTAAAGATGTACGTCTTGCCCAAAAGACGTTATTGCTGCGCAGGGATTCAAAAGCCATACCTTGTGATTCACAGTCTGCAGACTTATCCACTGGACCACAACACCTATATATATTAGTACTAGCTTTGTCATTGTACGTCTTTTCTTTTCCTTTTCTCTCTGTCTGGAAGAAGGCTTATGTAATGTCCAATGCTATCATTTTGTTTTGCATATTCTATTTTCTGTTTCCTGATGAGATTGAAAAATATCTATACAGAAATGCAAATCATGAATGGGACCTAAAGGAAAGATAACAGTAGGGCCCATGATTATATTCGTTACAACTAAAACATGGACTGTACTCATAACAATAAAATAAATATTCTCCTAGTTTTAAGTCGCTTTATGATGGTATAGGCCAATAGATATCTATAACACTGTTTGCAGATTGCATAGAGGTTTGTATAGCAACTGAATAAAGAATAGAATAAAGAGTATACGATACCAGGCGAGGGCCAAAACGGCAATCAGGATCCAAACGTTGGTCTTCATGGTGGAGTTTTGTGGATCTTCTGTGTTCTCAGAGTGGCTTCCTCAGCAGGATGAGTTCTGTCTATAAAATCCATCTCAATTTATAGGCATTTTTTGGCGCCATGACAGAATATCGGTTACATCTCGAAATATGGAATAGAAATCTGTTGTTTGTTTGTTGTTGTTGTTGTTGTTTTACATATTTATTCTTTTGACGTTTTTGTAGTCTATTGTTCCTTTTGAATGGATAATATCTTTACACAGATTCGTGTAAATACAAATACTGTAGAAGCGCCGTTAGCGTGTGACCCAGTATCAGTTACCTGAAGAATATATGGAATAGATATTTACATCTTGTTTTAAATCTTTATTATTTTGACTATATTGACGTTATTTAGTTAGTCCACTTTTTTAATAACGAATATGTACACAGCTTCATGTAAATAATATACAGTAAATGAAATGATGTGAAATAGTTGAAAACGTGAGAAGAACAAAAGGATGCTTTCTCCTCACTTATAAAAGAAAACAGAATTGGTAAAATAGACCACGCATAATTTGATACGTCGGTTTAGTTTATTTACGATTAAGATCCAGCTCACGGTGTATCGTGAAACGAGGGGCTTGGAATACGTCATGATAACAGATATGCTTTCGTTTGTTCAGGACTTCTAGGACGCTCTTTCGTCTCACGTCTGTCTGTCTTTCTTTTTTTTCTCACTCCTCTTTCTCCCCTCTCTCTCTCTCTCTCTCTCTCTCACTCTCTCTCTCTCTCTCTTTCTCCCCTCTTACCCCGCCCCCTCTCCCCCCCTCTCTCTCTCTCTCTTTCTCTCACTCTCTTTCTCTCTTTCCTATCGCCTCCTCCATATTTTCTCCTCTCTCTTTCTCTCTTTCTTATTGCCTCCTCTATATTTCCTCACCTCTTTTTCTCTATCTTCTCCTAGACCCCTATATTTCTTTATTTCGTTCTTTCCTTCTCTTTCTCTCCCATCCACTCTTACAGCCCCCCCCCCCCCCGGGTGCCTTCTTCCTTCCTCCAGGCGTATCAATAATTAATTAAACGTTTCTATTAAACAAATCATCTTTAAAAAAATAAAAAATGAAAATAAATCGGACACGGTTTCTAGTTCTCGTGTGTCAGTGTACAGGCAGAAGCGATGCGGAAAAGACTATCGCGTAGGCTATAAATGCCTTTAGAGAAAGTTGCGATAAGACCGTCAGCGCACTTTTTTTTTCTTGAAATAAAATGAAATCAGAATTATATCTGCTTGGAACATTCAGGGGCTCATCACCCTTGCAGAGAAATCGTTAAAGCAATATTCATGGCGTTAAAATGATCGCGTTTTGTCATTTAAGTAAACAAAGAATTGAACTCTGGATATGAACTTTGGATATGAACTCATGATGCAGACACTTACGTGAGTGGTAAGCTACAGGGACATACTAATGGGGAATCACCTCTGGTTTTCGGTTGTAGGCCTATATTATGATTACATAGATAAGATACTTGTGAATATTCATGTTATTGATAACACTGCCACAGACCTGTTAAAGAACAAAAAGATCGAATATTTGTCTACGAGGCTGGGCTTTCAGCAACCACACCATTATAAAACTATCTTTAATAAAGTATAAGAGTTGATTTAATTCAGAAGTAAAAGTTGAATGTATACGGACACTCGTAAAGTGGATTATTCTTCTTTGAAATATCAAAAACAACTAACCATACTTTTTAAAGCTTATATTTGCTATGGTATATATATAAGAGAAGTATTAGAACTGTTCGGCGGTTGATGAATTTGCTCGTACAGCTGAAACATTAATGTCCATGCATTAAAGTGCATGCAATGAGCATGCATGCACAAAATATTCATGGGCATTGTGTTACAGCTGTTAGTCTCTGTAAATTTAGTCGCCTGCTATTCCATCTTTTGTTTAGCCGTTGAAAATATTATAATCTTTCTTCATATTTTCGATTTTAATTATCTTTATATCACAATTTATATTTTTAATTTTTATGTATTTCATAAGATTGCATATTCCTCGGGACATTGGGCCCTTTAATTAAGCCAATTAAAAACACATGCTTATTATTAATATTCTTGACTTACTTGACTAAAGTGCACATGACGGAGTGTCCCCTTGCGCTCAAATATCGTTCAAAAATACAATACATGTATAACTGTTATAAATAAATAGTCAAATGTATAACTGTTATACTGTTATTACTGTCACGTCTCTATCAAAATCAAATTGCATACAATTATTTTGGAGTATACTGTTTTCATGTATGGTATTTTTGAAGACTCTGAATTCTCGGTTTTCAAAATGATGTGTGTTTATAATAACTTTGTATGTGTAAACAATATTATGTGATCCATAACATTTCGTTTGACTGCTCTGTCAAATGGTTTTATATCAAGTCAAATTACTCGTGTTATACAGATATAGATCAGAGGAACCCTTGTCATTTGAATACTGTTTTAGGTTCTCATTCTTCCTTGTGTAGGTCCGTTGTAGTGATGTGGTTTGATTCATTTTCTGGATATATGAAATATCACTTAAGATTGAGTTGAATTTAAAAGAGCACTAGCAGTAACTATGTAAGGGCGCAATCATGACACTGCTAAGTCACATGTGATTTACATTTATGATTGTTACACGATGCCTATATTGTGTTTTTCATATTGACGTATAGTATGATTATCGTGCTTGAAGACAAAAAAAATATATATCAAAATAAAGGATTCATGATTTAAACTCACATTTATAGACTCACGATTTGTCTTATGATTCTGTTCTGAATTAAATTTTATGCACCAGATGTTGTCGAAATAAGTTTCACTGTGTATTACAAAAAAAAAAATTGTTACGGTGGTACAATCACTAAACGATTTTCAATTTTTTTTTTTTAGATCTGGGAAAAGTAAAATATCAAAGATCCCCTTACCAAAACGTTCCCCTTACTGTTCTTGAATGCTTTCCAGTCTTGATAAATCAAAAGTGCTTTATTTATCTTATTACTCAAATTCGCGTAGTGTTATTATTGAGTGCTGTTTTTAATTTCTCGAGGTGTCACATGATCATTTCTTTCATACAATGTAACAAAAAGTTTGACCATCTTTACCTATTAAAGAACAAAATAGAGGAGCTTACTTGGTTTCTGACACTCTCCCAATAACCATGAGAACTCTTTGTTAGCTTTTTTAATATATCATAGACATACTTCTTTCTTCGGACATAGTTGGTCCATGCTCTATCAATGCCAAAAAATATAAACCCAATTTTATGGGCGTCTGACCGTTAATTGTGTACAGTGATAGTGCTTTCTTTTGACAATGTTTGTTGCATGGGCTAAACTTAGGGTGAAATCCGAATCTGGGTCTGTTCGGGGGGGGGGGGGCTCTGTGGGCCGACAACCATTTTCTCCCACTAACCATATAAGCGGGGGACTTGTCGTCCATGGCCTAAGTAATGGGTCAAAAGGGGTAAGATAGGCTCTTGACGCGTGTGTGTGGGGGGGGGGGGGGAGAGGATGGAAGAGATTGGAGAAAATTATAGAGAGCTAAAAAGAGAAGAGAGAGAGGAGGAGGAAAAGAGAAAGAACAAGAGAGAGAAAGAGAGAGCGCGCGCGCGCGTGTGTGTGTGTGTGTGTGTGGAGAGAGAGAGAGACAAAAAGACATACAAATACAATGTGTGTGTATGTGTGTGTGTGAGAGAGAGAGAGGGAGAGAGAGAGTAGGGGTGCGAGAATAGACAATGCAATGTCTCTCCCTTCATTATGTCTCTCCCTTCCCCATGTCTCTCCCCACCCCTCTCTCTCTCCCCTCCCCTCTCTCTCTCTCTTCTTTTGTCTCCCCTCCCCCTCTCTCTAGCTCTCTCTCTCTCTCTCTCTCTCTATCTCTTTCTCGTTCTCCTCTCTCTCTTCCTCTTTCTATATATCTATCTCTCCCTCTCCTTATAATCCTTTTGGCATTCGCAAACATCAGGAATATTTTTTTTATTAAATCCTTTAAAGGTTCTTGATGGGTTGCACTTCGATTAACTTAGAAAAACAAGAAACTAGAAAAACAAGAAATATATGCTTACTAACAATATCATTCGTTTATTGTCATCATTTCATTGCTTAATTTTCAATATTTAGAATACATGGTAAAGAAAAGGGGACAGAATGTAGAGCAAAACCTATGCCACTGGAGATAGGACAAAATACATTGTTATCTAACAGTGTACATGATATACATAGTCCTGGGGTGGGGAATATAAAGAGCTTATATTCTTTAAGTGGTATATTTTCGAGACGCGCACATGCACAGCACTAAAAGAAAATACGCCAAAGGTCCAAAAGCGACTTGCCAGTGAATGTTTATATTGTGGTTGTTACAGATATGGATTACTAAAAACTACATACTCTAATCTAGATATGAAGATACTTGTAAATGATCCTGTGAATAACAGAATTGCCCAAGCCTCACCGACCCCCCCCCCCCCCGAATAAAGAAATGGTTATGCTACAGTAGTTTTGTTTCAAGTAAGTATTTGTGATATCATGATAAACTTAATGACATGAGGTGGACATGAGAAGAAAGATTAGGTTAAAACAGTTCTAGCAAGAAACGAAAACTAACCACCAATAATATCGAGAACATCAAACGAAATTTTCATTTAAATAAAAGATAGAAACGTTTGATACCGTCACTTATATTACTTCATCATTTTTTAATCAGCTATATATCAATTTAAACTATAGGTTGTCTTCTACCAGGGTTCCAATGACGAGTTTAATGACAAAGACGATGATATTGACAATGTCAATCACCATGGTACATTGTCATCACCAACTACACACCCACCGGGGGTTTATGCGTAGTAAGTATTGCTGACAACGTTTAGAAGGCGGTTAAAGGAGGGTAAAACCGCGGCGTTGCTAGCTGGAAGACTCGTCAGCTTGTCCTTGGCACTTGTCGCAATAAGGATGTCCAGGACGAGATCGGTCATTGTCTCACTCCCAGTAGGTGTCAG